CCAGCAGATCCAGAGATTTGGGATCTGGGGTGGGATGGGAGGATCGGGATGGATCCAGGGGTGCAGATTCCCACTGTTCCAGCTGATCCCAGAGATCCCAGCAAATCCGGAGATTTGGGATCTGGGGTGGGATGGGAGATTGGGGAATGGATCCAGGGGTGCAGATTCCTGCTGTTCCAGCCAATCCCAGCAGATCCAGAGATTTGGGATCTGGGGTGGGATGGGAGATTGGGGAATGGATCCAGGGGTGCAGATTCCCACTGTCCCAGCCAATCCCAGCAGATCTGGAGATTTGGGATTTGAGGGGGGATGGGAGGATCAGGATGGATCCAGGGACGCCGATTCCCGCTGTCCCAGCCAATCCCAGTATATCGGGGGATTTGGGATTTGAGGGAGATGGGGAGGATTGGGATGGATCCAGGGGTGCAGATTCCTGCTGTTCCAGCCAATCCCAGTGGATCTGGAGATTTGGGATCTGGGGTGGGATGGGAGGATCGGGATGGATCATTTTCACTGCCCCACAACTTCCTGGGATCACGGGATTATGGGATGGGATTATGGGTTCTCCATGGATCATCCAAAACCTTATCCCACAACCTCCCAGGACCATGGATTGTTGGGATCATGGGATTATGGGATCACATTCCATGTCCCTTCTCCATGGACCATCCAAAACCTTATCCCTGTCCCACGCCCTCCCAGGATCATGGATTGTCAGGATCACGGGATTATTGGATCACATCCACACCCCACAGCAGCCACTGCCACCGTGTGGTCACCACCACCCCAGGCCACCCCTCTCCTCATCCCTTTTCCCATTCCCATCAATTTCCCACTCAGATTCCATCCCCGGCACCTCTGGGATGGGCTGGAATGCCCAGGGATGGGAATGGAGCTGGGGAAGGAGAAAAGGAGGATCCAGAGGGACTTTTCCCACTCTGGAATTCCTAGTTAGGTGGGATTGGGACTGGGATTTCTCCCAGGGAATGAGGCCACCCCTCTCCTCATCCCTTTCCCCATTCCCATTTGAGATTTCCCGCTCAGATTCCATCCCCAGCACATCTGGGAGGGGCTGGAATGCCCAGGGACAGGAATGGAGATGGGAAAGGGGCTCAGCCTGGAGGAAAGGAATTTTTCCCACTCTGGAATTCCTAGTTGGGTGGGATTGGGATCGGGATTTGTCTCGGGAATGAGGTCACCCCTCATCCCTTTCCCCATTCCCATCCCAGATTTCCCTCCAGATTCCCTTCCCGGCACCTCTGGGATGGGCTGGAATGTCCAGGGAATGGAACTGGGAAAGGAGAAAAGGAAGATCCAGAGGGACCTTTCCCCTCTGGAATTCCCAGATGGGTGGGATTGGGATTTCTCCCAGGGAACGAGGCCACCCCTCATCCCTCTCCCAATTCCCATCCCAGATTTCCTGCTCAGATTCCATCCCCGGCACCTCTGGGATTGGCTGGAGTGTCCAGGGACAGGAATGGAACTGGGAAAGGGGCTCAGCCCAGAAGAAAGGGACTTCTTCCACTCTGGAATTCCTAATTGGATGGGATTGGGATTGGGATTTCTCCCAGGGAACGAGGCCACCCCTCTCCTCATCCCTTTCCCACATTTCCATCCCAGATTTCCCACTCAAATTCCCTCCCTGGGACCTCTGGGATCAGCTGGAATGCCCAGGGATGGGAATGGAACTGGGAAAAGAGGAAAAGGAGAATCCAGAGGGACTTTTCCCACTCTGGAATTCGCCAGGAGGGAGCAGGATTGGGATTTCTTCCGGGGAATGAGGCCACCCCTCATCCCTCTCCCCATTTCCATTTGAGATTTCCCACTCAGATTCCATCCCTGGCACCTCTGGGATGGGGTGGAATGTCCAGGGATGGGAATGGAACTGGGAAAGGAGAAAAGGAGGATCCAGAGGGACCTTTCCCCTCTGGAATTCCCAGATGGGTGGGATTGGGATTTCTCCAGGGGAATGAGGACACCCCTCTCCTCATCCCTTCCCCCATTCCCATTCCAGATTTCTCGCTCAGATTCCATCCCCGGCACCTCTGGGATTGACTGGAATGTCCAGGGATGGGAATGGAGCTGGGAAAGGAGAAAAGGAGGATCCACAGGGACTTTTCCCACTCTGGAATTCCCAGCTGGGTGGGATCAGGATTGGATTGGGATTTCTCCCAGGGAACGAGGCCACCCCTCTCCTCATCCCTTTCCACATTCCCGTTTGAGATTTCCCGCGGATCCCAGCGTCCGGTGGCCACCATTCCTGCCGTTTCTTCCATTCCCGCCATTCTGGCCGTTCCCACCATTCCCACCGTTCCTCAGATCATTCCCGCTGTTCCCACCATTCCCTCCGTTCCCTTCATTCCTGCCGTTCCTCAGATCATTCCCGCCATTCCCACCATTCCCGCCGTTCCCGCCATTCCTGCCATTCCTGCCGTTCCTCAGATCATTCCCGCCAATCCCGCCATTCCCGCCATTCCTCAGATCATTCCCGCCATTCCCACCATTCCTGCCACTCCCGCCATTCCCACTGTTCCCGCCGTTCCCGCCATTCCTCAGATCATTCCCTCCGTTCCCGCCGTTCCTCAGATCATTCCCACCGATCCCGCCATTTCCTCCATTCCTCAGATCATTCCCACCATTCCCGCCGTTCCCGCCATTCCCGCCGTTCCTCAGATCATTCCCTCCATTCCCGCCATTCCCGCCGTTCCTGCCATTCCCGTCATTCCCAACATTCCCGCCATTACTGCCATTCCCGCCATTCCTCAGATCATTCCCGCCATTCCCGCTGTTCCCGCCATTCCCGCCGTTCCTCAGATCATCCCCGCCAGGTACGGCGGCAGGAAGAGGCCGGCGGTGCCCAGCAGGCAGACGATGATGAACATCCACAGGAAGATGCGGTCGATCACCATGGCCACGTATTTCCAGTCTTCCTTCACCTGCGGGTGGGAAATGGGGATCGATCTCTCAGGAATTCTGGGGTTTTCTGGGAATCCGCCAGTAAAGAGAAACCGCTTTTTTTGGGAAAAATTTGGGATTTTCCTGAGAAATCCCGGGGTGGAGCTGTGGGATCTGACCCTGGATCCCAGAACTGACCATTCCCTGA